GGGGTCCTGGGATCGAGCCCCACATCGGGATCCCTGCTCCTCAGGAAGCTTTCTTCTCCCTCTCCCTCTGCATCCCCCTGCTTGTGTTCCTGCTCTCACTATCTCTCTCTGTCAAATAAATAAAAAAAATCTTTAAGAATAAATAAATAAATAAATACATACATACATAAATAAAGATACTGATCAACAGAATTTTATCCCAGAGTTTCCACGGTTGTGAAATTGGCTGTTCTTAAAGCCAAGTTCAACTATATAGGTTAGCCATATAGATTATTTCAGTCTATATCTAGTTTGGCTACTATCTCTTGTGATATGTACAGTTGCAGCAAATTTAATATTCACGGTAATTAATTCCTGTTGTTCAAATATCCAAAAAGTCATTCCCACTGGTACAAGCAAGCCAGATGGAAAGAAAATGTCTGGAGGGAAATTAAAAGTTTGTCATTTCTAATTTTCAACTGACCCTTGAAAGTATTAATTGGCATGCTGGCACCGCTGAAAAAGTTGAACAAACTTCTTTCTCTTACTCTGCCTCACAACTGATCCAGATGAAGGCCAAAGCATATCAAAAAATAAATCCAGGAAATGTTCTAACCTAACTTTTAAGGCACAGAGGTCTCCCCAAGAAAATGTGCCTCCTGTGTTTAGAGGAAATCCATCCAGCTCCACCCTTCCACACTGAGGCAATCTTTGTAGGGAGAGGCAGATGTTGTCCAGTTCGGTATCCACATCAGAAACCAGAATGTTCTCTGTGCTGATGACACACTGACCTCCCTCAGTCACTCTCAGGGCATTGGTAAACACCTAAAAAGAAGGAAGAAAACATTCAAAGTCTTGTTCCATGAACTATCCCTGAAGACTGAGCTCATTAAATAAATAGAAAACTTCTAGTACCACCTTCACATGCATGTCAATTAATTTTTTAAGGATATGGTAAAGGGGACAAGTTCATAGCTGAACCTTTTGGCTGAAAAATATTTTTTACTAAACATTTCCAATTCTAAGCATTGAGGTATACAAAGAAGCAAGGCAGATTCATAACCGTGAAAGTATCTACGTTTCATTTACCTCAGACCCCCTTATAGTGGAAACAGCAACCAAACTAGTTCCTATTGGTGCTAAATAAAGAAAATAGTAACATCCATCATCATGTCCACACCCACCATTGCTGGATACATATATACCTTCACCTAGACAACGAACAACAATTATATCAAATTCCCCTAGAGGAAAGAATCCATCCCTTTTTTTCACCCTAAAAATTCTTAAAGATTTGGGAAATTGTTTGGAGCTTCTAAGTGTCAATTATAATGAGTATTTTACAGATGGAAGTAGAGCAGAAGACTGGAGATTGAAGATTCCACAAGAAATATTTTATTCAAACATCAGACAAATAATTAAGCTATAAAGATAACTTTTGATGACCGAAAAACCCACTACTCAACCAACAATTCATATGAAAGTAAAAAGCAAGTAAGAAGGGCTTGGGATATTTTACTGCTACATTGGGACTTGGCAAGACGTGTTCTATGGTCAAATAAGGCTTGAGAACAGTCATGTACAATATCTTCACTTGGAGATTTATAAGGCGTGTAAGTATATTCAGCGTTCTGAGGTCCTGCAGTAGAAACATTGGTGAACTTTGTTTAGCCTATCATTCTCCCAAATTCATATTACTACACAGAAGTAAAAGCAAGCAGATAGAGTTAGGGTACCAATCATGGGCTCTGAAGGTCCCCTTGCAAAAGGTCTGAGGTGAGTGCCTCACCCATGTGAGGATACAGCATTCTTGGAGGAAGAAGCCACACTCTTCAGACCAGCTGCCACTCCCAGAAAGGAGAATGTTCCTGAGGAAAAAGCTGGGCGGGGGTGGGGGGGGTAGGAGATAGGCAGAAGAAAGGGAAGTGAGCAAGGAGAAGTCACAGTCTCCAGTCAGAGCCCTGCTCTATCCTCCCGCCCATCAGGGCGCAGCTGCCCCAAGGCAGCCCCCCTGGGTCATGGGAATTTCGAGACCAACCACCATGAGACACTTGCCTTCTAGTCTTCAATAAACTACCTCTACTAGCAAAGGAAAACATAAAACAAGACTTCTCTTCTCTCCCTACAATGACTCTCACCCCCATCCTTCCCACATGCCTTACTCTTACATTTTTACTGTTTGTAGGAGAAAGAAAGAATATTCCTATTAAAAGAGGAGCATTATTTTTGAAACAAGGTCCATATCTGCTAGCCTCATTGATTTCCAAGTTGCATCAATTAATACCTCGAGTTGCTAATGTTTCAAGGGATATACTCTGCTATACTCTGGGGTTTTAAAATATATATGCATTTTAGGGCAGCTTTCAAAAAATAAAAGCATAAGGCTAATTTGCCCCAGCTCATTTCATCACTAACTTTTCAGTCTCTGCCCAAACCTAGTACTTAGGTTTTGGGGCTTTCCTGTGAGCATCATATTAAGATCACCTCATGGTTATTACTTAACTCAGATATCTGTGGGTATTTCATGCCAGGAAACCACTCGCGTGTCTGGTTTCACTAGAGCCACTCATTTTTTAATTTTATTTTTAATGTTCTCAGTTCTCTAAGGTATGATTTCATTTGTCCCATACAGTATAGGAAAAAGAAGCCACTATGCCACGTTAGCCCTGACTCCTCATATCTATTCCATCTACCTTCAGATGAGAGAGGTAACTGTTCACTTCACCATTTCTAGTTTTCTTGTTTTCTCCACAGATCATTTTTCTCTAGCAAGACGTTTGGGTTGCGTTGCATAAAACACTACTTCTCTCCATGATTGTTTTAGAAAAAGCTTTGGCTTCTTTAGATGCTGGGCTAGTTCAGGGCATGTATCTCATACACAGAAAAGAATGGTCTGAATAAGATCTAATCAAATTAACAGACATTCTAAACTGTTTCTTCCACAGGGAATGTGATCTGGTCCCTGACAGGGAAGGAATCAAAGAATATAGTTCAGATTCTTTTGTCTTTTGTGTGAGCTCTTTGGCGCATCTTCTGCCAAAAATGGCAAGTTCCAAGGTCTGAGGGGGCAGGCCAGCGATGTAAATGAGTGTGCTCAGCTGGGTGGGGCCTTTGGAGCCTGGAGAGCAGGCCCAGGCAGCTGCTGCTGGGGGTAAGTGAGTTCACTGTTCCTAGAGTTCCCAAATTTTCAAGAGAAGCCAGAAAGCCAGACTTGATATGAAACTTCCTGATGTGTAAATGTTGGCAACTCATTAATTAAAAGTATTGTTTGGCTCTATCAGAACAGTTCTGTGGGTTGGGTAAGCCCCTTGGTCCCTCAGACTGAGACCTCTGCCCTCCAACTTCAGGCAGATGTAGAGATGGGGAGGAGGGAGCTGGAAAGAGAGCCTCAGGGCTCCCAGCTGTCCTCCAGGTAGGTACCTGGAAGGTGACCTCTTTCCTTAGGGATGAGACATGTCTGGGTTCTCATGCCTCTGCTTCCTACCTTGTCTTTCCACTTCTGAGGGGAAAATTAGCCCAAGAATAGCCACACAAGTTAAGTCTAACCCTCTGATGGGGTTTGGAACAAACTTTCATTATGAAGTCCAGCCTCACAGATAAGATGCACAAGGTAACATCATCTTTGTAGTTCAGTTTTAATAAGAGACCCAACTGTTTGACCATTTATGTCAGCACTGGGGCTGGGATGGGAGAGGATAAAAGAACCCATCTTAAGTCATTTGAAAAATTAAGCGAGCATAGAGTTGGCCTGCAATGAGAGTAAATAAGTCCTTCCGGTTGCTAAGAGACCCATAACTTAATCCCCTTCCCCTGATCAGCATGTGAGACTTAGCAGAAAGGAAAGGAAAGAGTTTTTGATAAAGCTTTGAAAATAATGCCAAATTCAGCAACTGGAAAATCTCACCTTTTAGACAGAAAGACCCTTGGGAGGTGAAAGACTCCCCTCCCCTTTTTTTCCTACACTGTAGCTGAAAAATTAAAAAGTTCTGGAAAATAGCCTAAAGAAAAGTTAGCATTTCCACTAAGTCTTCAAGTCTTTCTTTTCTTTCCTTAGGTCTTCCCGCCTCTTTATCTTTCACATCAAACATCGTACATACCTCAGGAACTTGATTGTCCACTGGAAGAATTGTAATGTTAAAGCAGATCCCGTGCAAAGTGCCACCATGTTGGTTACTGATGGAAAAGGCAAACTGGACATGTCCCGGATGGAGGCCTATATCTCTCATGGGTGGCATGTAGGCCACTTTCATGTGGTTCACAGCATGCTGCAAAGCAAATCGAGATGGACACGTGGGTGCCCATCTGCAAGGATCAGAGACTTTCAGAGAGCTAGGTCTCTGAGACCCATCATGTTGACATCCAACACTGGAAATGCCAACATCATCACTTTGAAGAGTCCAAAAAGTTCTATTTTATAAATCGCTTTTTCTAAAACCAGGAGGGAAAAGAACAAAGAAATTAAGTAAATATGTCAAGTGCTTGACACCAGCCAACTCTATAAAAGACAGGAGATGTGAATTTCAACCCAGCTCCACCACAAATTAGCTGTGTGATATTGGTCAAGTTACTTAAACTTGTGAGGCCTCTGTTTCCTTATCACTACAATAAATAAAATAATAAAATAATAGTACTAAGCACATGGGGTTTACATACTCATTTGCATCATCTAACTACAGTGAGATTAGGCAGAATTAGCCCTACGGACAGGGGTAGTTGCTGCCTAAGTATTCATCACCATTACTGTGACTCTCAGGGGAGTATTCAGGGAAGAGTCCACAGGAAGGGGGAGAAGGTTGGTGAAAGAATTTGGGATGGTAGTAGGTATTGTAAGTTGAATGTGTTCCCCCAAAAAAGATATGTTGAGGTCCTAACCTCTAGTACCTCAAAATATGATCTTATTTGGGAATGGGGTTGTTGCAGCTGTAATCAGTTAAGATAAAGTGTAGTCACACTGAAGCGTGAGCCCTTCATGAAATATAACTTGTGTCCTCATAAGAAGAGAGAGACATGTAGAGAGAAGACAGCCATAGGATGACAGAGGCAGAGTGAAGTGATGATCCACAAGCCAAAGAAGGTCAAAGAGTCCAAAGAAGAGGCAAGGAAGGCTTCCCCTACAGGGTTTCAGAAAATTGCGACCCTGACAACACCTTTACTTCAGACTTCCAGCCTCCAGAACTTCGAGACAGTAAGTCTGTTATTTTAAGCCACTCAGTTTGTGGTACCTACGGCAGCCCTAGGAAACTAATACGGTAGGATCTAGACTACTTGAATGTGTTAGAATAAAACCATAGGCACCAGGTCTGTAAATCAGAGCCCTGCTACTGGTAAAACGATGCAAAAAAGCTGTGCTGAATTATAACAAGATTTTGAAATCATATCCAGCCCAATGAAGCATTGTCAAGTAGATGGCACATGCTAAATAAAAGTCTGCAAGCAGAAAGAACGTAGACATCAAGCATTTGATACTTTTGACGTATGTCAAAGGCCATCATTCTCAAGTGCAACACTAGGAGTGTCATCCCTTCTCTCAGAAGACACCTCCATCATGTTTGGTCAACATTTCAGCATAGCATCATACCTGAGTGAATGATCTCAGCCCCGGGGCTGCAGGATTTTTGGTCAGCTTTGGAATGCTATCGACCATAAACAATTTCCCAGCATCCAGATGTCTAAAGAGAGATACAGGAGAACACATCAGCTAATTTTCCAGGCAAGAAACATTAAGTCAAAGAGCCTGCAACCAAATTTTCCAAAGCTACAAATGCTCATTGCAAGAAGAAATCAAATGTTCCATCTTCATATTCTCTCTTGCGGGGGTGGGGGTGGTTCTAGCCTTCTGTCCAGAATCATCAATGCCATTCTTATGACTGCAGAAACTATGTACAGAATTTTCTATTTTGATTTCATGAAAGTGAATTGTTCTTCTCATCCTAAAAAATGTTTCCTTGCTATCATGTACATGACACAAGCCTCAGGTATATTCATGCCACTTTTCTGATTGGGATTATAGAATATGACCATTTTGTGGCCTGCAATATCTGAAAATAGTGTTATAAAGATAAAATAAATTTTTATTAAAAAGACAAAAATAACATTCTCTTTAGAAAAAAAGGAATGTTGTATGAAAAAAAAGATTAAAGACTATTTTAAGCTTACCTAAGCTGAAGACACTATAAGTGGCAGGTCACTTACCAATTAATACAGCTTTTGAAGGGAGGTATGAAATAAGTTTGAGATTACAGTAAATGCGGAATTGAATACAAGTTCATGTCTGACCAACAGAGCAACTGAACCACAGTACTGTATATGGACACTTGCAACTCAGTCCTTGGACACAACCCTCAACAAATAGCCCAGGTGATGACTTCTCAAGAGATACCTGTGGCCGAAAGAGAAAAATGGAGGTGTCGTTATCGTGTAGAGAAGCTCCCTGTCATATTCTGTATCTATATAATGTAGATGTTTCTTAGTTATGTAGGCCACCTCAGTTTCCTTGACAACCAAATGCCGAGAAACTCCAGGGGCCTCTTTTGGAAGCTGGTCATCCACTGGAGTGATATGGATGGTCACCACCTGGAAAGAAATTACCTGTGCCATTAATTTGAAATACCAAAGGACACCAAAGAAAACACCCCACAATCACCCAGTCATGGTTAAGATGCTTTTCAAAAACTCCCATTTGTAATATACTTCCATTGAAATGATTCAGGAGCTATTAAGAACATGGGCCAAAAATGGAACATTCTTACCCACTTAATGTTATATTTTAAGAATAGAATTATCCCAATTATAGTTAATGCAGCCATGAATGCTATAGAACAGGCACATAATACACAAAATATGTTCCTGATTTTATTTCTACTTCTCCCTTGCACCAACAACCTGTGCTTTCTCTCACTACCATCCTCCATTCAGTCATTGATCCTAGAAACCTTGTCATGACTTTTGGTTCCTTCCTCTCCACTGACACATAACACATCTCCAAGTCCCAGAGTTTCTGCTTACCAAATTTCCTATGCCATGACCACACCCTGCCCCCACCCCAACTGTCATTCCCACTCTTACTGGTCTAGCTCCAGCTCTCATCGTTGTTTCCCTACATTATTGCAACAGCTTCCTGTAAGCCCTAACTCCAATACCTAATCTAGACTTTACATATCTCTAGTCTTCTCTTTAAAAAAAAAAAATGCAAGTCAAATCAGTTATTCCTCTCCCCAAAAAACTAAAGAACCACTCGGGAGGGATTAAATTATTCAAGCTCCTCAGCATAGCACCCAAGACCTCCACGGCTTAGACACACTCTATTTTTCAACTTTATCTTGTACCACCTTTCAACATTAACCCAGGACGCTAGATGAGCACAAGATACCAGGCTGTAGTTATCAAGCAGGTCTCTATGCTCTGGATCATGCTGTTCCTTCAATCTGCAATGCTTTTCTGCTTTCTCCAGCAACTTGAGTCTTTCTTACCCTGGAGGGTTCTTCTTAAAACTTTGCCCAATTTCTTGGGGTTCCTGCGTGGCTCAGTCAGTTAAGCGTTCAACTCTTAATTTTGACTCAGATCATGGTCTCGGGGTCATGAGATTGAGTTCTGCATCAGGCTGCCCGCTCAATGGGGAGTCTGCTTGAGATTCTTTCCCTCTGCCCCTCCCCTACCCCCACATGTGCTTGCTCTCTCTAAAAGAAATAAATCAATCTTAAAAAAAAAAAAACTTTGCCCAATTTCTCAGTTGGAATTATTTTTGAATTTTGCTTATCCCTCAACAAACATTATTATTTTATATTGCCTTGTATTAATTTTCAGTAGTTCACATGTCGGTCTCTCCTAGACTAAAATATCCACAAAGGGAGAATCATAGCCTAGTGCAAACCATGTGGAATTTGTCAGTGGACAGACAGTTAAAATGCAGAGTATACCACTCAGTAGTTATTAATCTTGAACAAGTCACTCGGCCTTTTTGGGTGTCAGTTTTATTGGTTCGTTAAGTGTAACAACAACAATCTCACAGAGTTGCTTTGAGAATCAAATATCACCACGTAGATAAGTATCTGGCACACAGTAGGTGCTCAATAAATATTATGTTCATTTCCGTTGCTCCACAAAAACTGGTATCCTATTTTATAGACAGGGAGATACTTCATCAGTGTTCGCTAACTCAGTCAACATGGCCTATTTGTGATTTTTTTAATTCTTAAACTCATACTCACAGGTTTGGGATCATGTAAGAGGACAAGGCAACTTTGCCAAACAGCTTTTATCATCACATTTATTTTTTTTCCAATAATCCATAACTGGTAGCGAGAAGGCAATTACTAACTCTTTCTCAAAATGGGACATTTGTTTGGCATCACGGATCTTTGCACAGCTTGATGCGTGAGAGTATTCTTACTCTGGTTCTAATTATTTTAATATTGTTACCAAAGCACAGATCAGCAATGCCAGTTTTGTCTACAATAATGGTGTTCACAATACTTAATTTGACAATGAAGAAAATTCCTTTGTAAATGGATGTACAAAGCAAAAACTAAAGCATGGTTAAGCTTTTTGATGATAAAGCCTGGGACATCAGCTCAGTCACCTACAAGCTAAGCTCCCTGAGGCAGATAATTTTACTCCTTTGGGGCTCAGTTTTTCTCTCTAGTAGCACAGTGAGTACCCAGTAGTAGGTGCTCAATTAATTAATTCCCTGTCTTCATCCTTCACTACTTTTACAAAAGCATACAACATATTTACTACTCCATTATGAAGCATTTCAATAATTAAAAACTAAAGCCAGTTATCAAAATAAAAGAACACAATGACAGTCATTTCTCCAGTCTCCTGGAGTCTGTGTCACAATTTTTTTTCCAATTACAGTTTTTTTGCTAATCTACAAAGTTCAGAAATTCTCTATGGGACCTCCCAGCCATAGTGTGCATCAGCGAGGCTCCACTTAATTGAAAAACTGGATTTAATATGGAAACAATAGTTATTGTGCCTTCAAAGAGACCATTTTCCATGCTAATTTATTCTCCAATGTGTTCTTTGTGTAAAAAGAATGTACAAGCATGCTTTTCTATACCCCTGTAGTAATTCTTGGTGGGCACATTTTTCAACATGCTTTATAATCACTTAAGTTGATGTATCTTTACATATTTATGCATGTTTAAACAATTATTGTACGTGTGTCTGTGGGTAAGAAAAATCCTATTTTAACAAGCTCCATAGAGAAATAAAGAATTCTCATTGTACTGAAATTTGGTTGTAAAAAAGACATTATTGAACACCCATTCCCAGACAATGAAAACCTAATGCCCCATCACTGGGCTCTTGCTGCTAACTCTCCCTACATCCCTCCAGTCTACTTATGGCCACAGGCACCTGCAAACAGACTTAGAGAGAATCTGAATATAAAGTGATAAAGCAGTACACAAAATGACAAAGCTTGACCTTGACCCTCAGAATCAGGCTTGATATATGATACCCCGACAGCTAGTATCTTTCTTTTTTTTTTTTTTTTAAAGATTTTATTTATTTATTTGACAGAGAGACACAGCGAGAGAGGGAACACAAGCAGGGGGAGTGGAGGAGGGAGAAGCAGGCTTCCCGCTGAGCAGGGAGCCCGATGCGGGACTTGATCCCAGGACCCTGGGATCATGACCTGAGCCGAAGGCAGACGCTTAATGACTGAGCCACCCAGGCGCCCCAGTATCTGACTTTCTTACAAGCCTGGGTTCTTGATCCTTTCTCTGTATCCGCTTTGATTTTTGCCTGATTCTTTATCTTGCATCTTCTTTTTGAGATTATCCAGCGCTATTTCTCTGCCCCAGGAACTACTACCCAAGTTAGCTTTGCCCACCCCACTCTCCAGTCTGACTTCTGACAAATGCCCATGGCCTGGGTGCCTCTTCTCTCATCCAGTCACATCCAGTTGCCTCCTCCCACTTGACCCACAGGCCTTTGTGGAACCTGCTTCCTTTCTTCCTCCATTTCTTAGTCCTCGTCCTGTTTCTCTCATCTATCTGTATTTTTCATTCTCCACTTTACTTTTTTTTTTAAGTTTTTATTTTAAACACCCAGTGCTCATCATGACAAGTGCATGCCTTAATCCCCATCACCTATTTCACCCATTTCCCCCCACCACCCCATTTTACTTCTAATATCACTTCCTCCTGGTTTAAGATCTCTTACAGCTTAAGCCCTATAAAGGCCTCTGTGGAGAAGGATAAAGAAGGAAATAATTTTCAAAAACAAATTGAGCAGGTGAGGCTTTATTTGATGACAGTAATGACAACCAAGACAGAAAGAGAGAGGGGTTTCTTGCTGATGTGTAGACACACTGTTGGTTGGTGTGTCAGTCAACCTCTCTGACGAGCATTCAGTAGAGAAGGACAAGAGGAGGGAAAGGGCATCCCTGCTTATGTAACTTCTTTCCTGCTTTATGTGCATCGTGTCTCACCTGAGGACATCCTTGCTTTCTGTCTCTATGAAAGGCAGTTTTCCAACAGTGTGGCCTAAGCAATCTTGTGCCCTACTTTAATTTTTGGTGACCAGATTTTGCTGAATTTTTATCTGTAAGACATGACTAGATACTTGTCCAAATTGAAGACGCAATCATCAAGTAGACTAAATGATCATGCAAGTCCCTTAAAAATTAGAGTTTCAATGATGACATCAGGGGTTTACAACACAGAAACGCTTACCAACACACACACACAATACTTGTTTTGTTGTTAGGCACACACTAATTCCTAGAAACTCTGAAGAATAAAGATTTACACTTATTCCTCCCTATGGCACTCCCTCCCCAGTTCCTACCAAATGTTTCAGTCTTCTTATTTTCTCTTACTTTCAAGAAAAATGGAAAGAACCAGAGTTCATTTTGGTACACACAAAAAAGCAGCTCTTGAGGCTCTACTTTGAGTCTTGAAACAAAGTCGGAAGATACAAGATAAATAATTTGTGATTCCTGCCATCAGTGAGCTCACAGTTGATCCAATAAAACAAATAATGGCCTCACATTTTAGTTATTTGATATCAGATCATATAAAAGGACAAGCTGAGCCAGCCTGGGAGAGTTATGGAATGGAGGGCATTGGGAAAGGATTCTTGGAGCAGGTGATGCTATAGCTGAGAGTAGGTCCATAATCTGGAGAAGGACCAAGCTAAAGCTGCCACTAGTCAGAAGTGGGGGAAAAAAAATGGATGCCAGAGGAATGCTACCAAACACTCTGCCACTGTATTAATGCGTTTTAATTGTCCTCATTTACAAGGATGTGGCTGATCTCCTCTATTCTTAAGAGATGTGAGGGATTCTGACGATAATTTAGCCCCCAAAAGATGAAGATTGGAACCAAAGCACTGGCAGTGCGGTGGAGAGCTAGAGACACATGAGAGAAATTTATCGATTTAGTAAGACCTGCTGACTGACCAGTTATACAGATATTCGATGGAGAAAAGGGCTGGGGAGGACTTCAGGGATTCTAGTTACAGTGGTTTTCTACAAGTTTGGGGGGAAATATTCCAAATGTCTCATGGATTGTGGACATGATGAATTTAAAATGCTGGTGAAGGCACGTGGGTGGCTCAGTCGGTTGGATGTCTGCCTTTGGCTCGGGTCATGATCCCAGAGTCCCAGGATTGAGTCCTGCATCAGGTTCCCTGCTCAGTGGGGAGTCTGCTTCTCCTTCTGCCCCTCACCTCTCTCTCTCACTCTCTCATAAGTGAATAAAAATAAAATCTTTAAAAATAAAATAAAATGCTGGTGAGACATATGTGTAATGATGTCAGGTACGGAGGCGGGTACATAAGACCGAGCTGGAGAATATTTAGGAACCAAAGAATAGGTGGTACATGAAGACACAGCAAATTTATAGATTCTGTCTCTGTCTCTTTCTCAACAAAGATTAAGAAGACGAAAGCAAAGAAAAATATAATTATGACCTCTTCTTTCGAAATCTATCCATCATCTGGATCTACAGAGTTTGATCTGACTTATTTGCCAAGATTTAGAAATAATTCTGCTTCAATAAAGTTTTTATTACCTTATTATAGAGAGATCTCACATCTCCATTTGATCTATAAATATGAGATAAATATAAATAAATCTATACCTATGATGTATAAAATATGTAATAGCAGAAGAGGAAAAAGAAGTCCTGAGCTTTCTTTTTTTTTTGCTTTTGTTTTTTATTGTTATGTTAATCACCATACATTACATCATTAGTTTTAGATGTAGTGTTCCATGATTCATTGTTTGTGCATAACACCCAGTGCTCCATGCAGAACGTGCCCTCTTTAATACCCATCACCAGGCTAACCCATCCTCCCATCCCCCTCCCCTCTAGAACACTCAGTTTGTTTCTCAGAATCCACAGTCTCTCATGGTTTGTCTCCCCCTCCGATTTCCCCCCCTTCATTCTTCCCCTCCTGCTATCTTCTTCTTCTTTTTTTTTTTAACATATATTGCATTATTTGTTTCAGAGGTACAGATCTGAGATTCAACCGTCTTGCACAATTCACAGCTCTGAGCTTTCAATTTTTTAAAAAAACACATAATCCACTAAAAGTGATATGGTATTCTAGTCAGAAACAGGTCAGTTTGAATAGATACAATAGAAGATTTAAAAATAAATCCTATTAGTAGATGCCATTTTAGATTATCAAGTCAACTAAGGTCTCAAGCAAAAATGCAATCTAGAAATGGCATATAATACACTGTTGAAAAGAGGGAGTTGTTATTTGTAAAGGAATTGATTTGTTATTCAATATGCAGATGAATTAAGAATTTTCTCATTCATTCTCTATTCCCTCCTAACAGGGATCACCTAGTTCCTTCAGTTTCTGGGCTCTCTGACATCATTCTTCCTGATCATCCCTTTTTGTTACCTTTGTCTTGGCAAGCAGATGAATAGCTCAATCACCTATGCAGTGGCTAATGTAAGTGACTGTGACATTATGAGTAGCATTATATAACCAATAGGGACACATGCTTTAAGAAATCATTCTAGAGGGGCGCCTTGGTGGCCCTGTCTGATAAGCACCTGACTCTTGATTTCAGCTCAGGTCATGATCTCGGGGCCATGAGACTGACCCCTGCATCTGGGCTCCATGTTCAGCAGTGAATCTATTTCTTCCTCTTTCTCCCTCTGTCCCTACTCCCCTCTAAAATAAATAAATCTTTTGAAAACATCATTCTAGAGCTGGTTCTCAAGATCATAGCAAAAAGAACCGGGTATAGTAAGTCATCACTTATTTTCAGCTGTCTTTCCACCCCTACCACCAGCCATCCTCTCTTTATATGGAGTCTACCCTTTTATAGTTTATAGTTGTCCAGATCCTACACTAACTTCATTTTCTGTAATTTCTATATGAGAATGCCTCCTTAAACTTATTTCTGCATCCTGTATACTTAAATGATATACTTGGGTGGTGGTAAAACTAATAGTTCTTCAAAAGCAACAATAAATAATAGCTAATTTGTCTACTGAGTACTTATCATGTGCCAGAAAGTTCTCAGTACTTTATACATGATTATCTCACTTACCCTCACAATTGCTCTATAAGGAAGTTGTATTATTACCTATTTTACAGATGAGGAAACTGAGGCACAGGTCAAACAGTTAGTTAAGGTCAAGGACAGGAGAGAAACATGGGCAGTGTAACTTCAGAGACTATACTTCAACCACTACACATAAAATGCCAGTGTTTTCTCAAGTCCTATGAGGCCAGCATATTTTGGGAGCTGTTCTGTATAAAAGGGCCCCATGGTTAAATGATCTTGAAAACCCTGCATTACACGGAGTTTTTACAAATACAGTAATTTACAAAACTAATTAGGAAAGTAAACGGTAGAGAAGTCATGCTGCAAAGAAATTGAATTAATCTTGCTGAATCCATTGTTTCTCAAGCTTTGAACCTTAAAACCTGCTTTTACACAGTTTCTAATAACACCTCCCGGAATGGATATCTGTGGACAAGACTTTGAGGGCAGTATTCAGAGATGGCCTCTTACCTGTGGCACTGAGAGATTTGGAGGTTCATGGCTGTCCCACAGGACAAATTCAAAAAAGTCTTCAAAGATCTCTCCACCAAAGTGACGATAGTAAATGATGCCATTAAATAGATCCCTCTGAAGGAAGCCAGGGACAGGATAGCCTATCGGGTCCACATAACAGCACATACTTTTGTAACAATCTTCCAGATGTTGGGGTATAAAGATACTGGACTTATCTCCAAAGTATTCTCTGCCTAGTATGGTGTATGCACCCAAGGACTTTTCATTAAATATTTTTATCAAAGCTTATAAATAATAAGCAGAAAAATTAAAGTTGCTACACCTGTCTTAAAATAGGTAGAAAAATCAGCATTACAAAAAATATTTTTAAGAAACGGTCTTAACTAACACCAACTATTTGATCCCTATTTTGTTACTCCTGACTACTTTAAGAAGTAGTTATGAAATTATTCTAATAAAACATAAACAAATGTTTTTCATGAAATTACTTTACCAATAATTTAGAATAGGCCAAACACTTCTCTTCAAACTTATTTGTTCTATCATCTTGCTTGGCAGATGTAATTTTTCATAATGTAATACCTAGAGGCTCAGCTCTCCAGATGCACAGACTTGAATAGATCAATTTAACTTTTCCAGGTATCAGGTTTCCCATCCATAAAATGGGAATGATAATGGTATCTTACCTCATCAACTTGATGTCCACCCTTGTACAAATTCTGACACCAACAATCTTAACTGTTCAGAACTTACCTATCAGCCCTGGCCCTGGCTTCTTCATGATCTCTCCAGCCTGAGGAGGTTTTGTGATATTAAAGAAGATGTAGTCATCACTGGAGTCCATGTCTGATGCTCTCAGCATGGAACCCTGGATCAGTATGGTCTGCCCCTCCTCCAGTTCAATCACAACGTTGCTTATGAGGAATGGGGGACTGTCATCTTTGGGCAAGATGTTGATGGGAAACTTATGGCGGATGCTGTGATGGCCATCAAATATCCTGAAGATCACGAAGTCTTTGGTGGAGTCACTGTCGTCATGATGATAGCGAACAACTCCAGCCTGAAGGTCAGCCACAGTGAAGAGAAATCCTTTCCCGCCTGATGGAGAGAACAGAGATGGAGCTGACTGAATGAGGGGTGCCGAGGGAACAGCTGTAGTGAAAGCAGCCCTAGAGGAGAAGGCATTGAGGAAAGTGGACCAGCCAATACTTGCCTCACTTAAACAAACAGTCTTGTTTAGTCAGCTCTGGGCCTCCACAGATCTGGTTTTGAATACTGGCTGTAACATTAATTAGCTGTGAGACTTGGGCAAAGTACTTAATTCGTTTGAGACTCGTCTATAAAATGGATAATAATACCTACCTCATATTCCCTAGTAAGGATGAGAGAACTTAAAGAACAGTAAGCCTACAAAATATGTTGATTTTTATTAAATTCATTGTTATCATCCTACATGGCAGCACTTCTTAGAGGGGCGGTCTTAAACCAAGAGCATCAGTACCATCTGGGAAGTCGTTAGAAATGCAAGTTCTGGAGGTAAGCCCCAGCAATCTGTGTCTTACTAAACCTCCAGGAGAGTCCTCTTGACACATGGTAAAGTTTTGTGTTTTGTTTTTTTTTAAATTTTATTATGTTATGTTAGTCACCATACATTACATCATTAGTTTTTGATGTAGTGATCCATGATCCATTGTTTTTGTATAACATCCAGTGCTCCATGCAGTACGTGCCCTCCTTAATACCCATCACCGGGCTAACCCATCCCCCCTCACCCCTCCCCTCTAAAACCCTGTTTGTTTCTCAGGTCCATAGTCTCTCATGGTTCATCTCTCCCTCCAATTCCCCCCCCCCTGCCATTTTTCCCTTCCTTCTCCTAATGTCCTCCATGTTATTCCTTATGTTCCACAAATAAGTGAAATCATATGATAATTGACTTTCTCTGCTTGACTTATTTCACTTAGCATAATCTCCTCCAGTCCCATCCATGTTGATGGAAAAGTTAGGTATTCATCTTTTCTGATGGCTGAGTAATATGCCATTGTATATATGGACCACATCTTCTTTATCCATTCATCTGTTGAAGGGCATCTCGGCTCTTTCCACAGTTTGGCTATTGCGGACATTGCTGCCATGAACATTGGGGTGCGTATGGCCCTTCTTTTCACTACATCTGTGTCTTTGGGGTAAATACCCGGTAGTGCAATTGCTGGGTCATAGGGTAGCTCTATTTTTAAATTTTTGAGGAATCTCCACACTGTTTTCCAAAGTGGCTGTACCAACTTGCATTCCCACCAACAGTGTAAGAGGGTTCCCCTTTCTCCACAACCTCTCCAACATTTGTTGTTTCTTTCCCTGTCCATTTTTGCCATTCTAACTGGTGTAAGGTGGTATCTCAGCGTGGTTTTGATTTGGATTTCCCTGATGGCTAATGATGATGAACATTTTTTCATGTGTCTGTTAGCCATTTGTATGTCTTCTTCAGAGAAGTGTCTTTTCATATCTTTTGCCCGCTTTTTGACTTGATTATTTGTTTTTTAGGTGTTGAGTTTGAGAAGTTCTTTATAGATCTTGGATACCAGCCCTTTATCTGTAGTGTCATTTGCAAATATCTTCTCCCATTCTGTGGGTTGCCTCTTTGTTTTGTTGACTGTTTCCTTTGCTGTGCAGAAGCTTTTTATCTTGATGAAGTCCCAAAAGTTCACTTTTGCTTTTGTTTCACTAGCTTTTGGAGATGTATCTTGAAATAAGTTGCTGTGGCTGATGTCAAAGAGGTTACTGCCTATGTTCTCCTCTAGGATTTGGATGGATTCCTGTCTCACATTGAGGTCTTTCATCCACTTGGAGTTTATCTTTGTGAATGGTGTTAGAGAATGGTCGAGTTTCATTCTTCTGCATGTGGCTGTCCAATTTTCCCAGCACCATTTATTGAAGAGACTGTCTTTTTTCCATTGCATGTTTTTTCCTGCTTTGTCAAAGATTATTTGACCATAGAGTTGAGGGTCCATATCTGGGTTCTCTATTCTGTTCCATTGGTCTGTATGACACATGCTAAAGTTTGAGAATCACTGGCTTATTGCCCAAGAGCTAGAGCTCTGATATCTAATGGCCTGGGTTCAAAGCCCAGTTCAGCCATTTTCTAGGTACATAACCTTAGACAAGTCAACTTCTCTAAATCTCAGGTTCCCCATTTGTAAAGTGGGAATAATAATACTACTTCATTTCATAAAGCTGATACAAGATAAAGTATGTAGAATGCTTTGTATAGTATCTGGCACAAAGAAAATACTTAATAAATATTAGTACTATTATCTACCTCCTCTGAGCCACATCATCATGCGCTACCACTCTACTCTTCATTTCTACAGTATTAGTAAACATTGCTTCACTCTGCAGAAGTGATTACAATTCTTGGTGGCAAGTGCCCCAGCAGTCTCCCTACACTGTATGGTTGTTTTAAAAACCTTCTGGGAATAAGCGATTAAACACTTGTATAAGAGACATTACAGGTTACTTGCCCAGTAGCCACTTCCTGCTTCTTCACCGGTACCAGATGCTAGTTTTATTTGGAATGGCAATATGACCATTAAAAAATACTCAGGTTACCAGACTCCACTGCATCTAGGGGGTAGTATGTGCTTGGTAGATTTAAGTGGAACCCACTGTATCAGGTTCCTGCAAAAAGTTGTTAGAGAGAGCAGATTAATTAACATAACTTTTTTCATTTCCCTTCTCTTCCTTCCTGGAATGCAGACCCAAAGTTTGGAGGTTTAGGCACCATCTTGTGACCACTGTCAGAGCAGAAAGAGCTCCTGGCATCGTGGATCTGGAATGCCTACCTCTGGGCAACTTGTCACATGAGGAAAATAACTCTTGAATTTTTTAAATCACTGTAGCTGGGTTTCCCTTACATGCAGCTGAACATCTACCCTAATTGATATACCCAGGCTTAAGCTGATCTCCTACTCCTCTGGGATTAGGCAAGAGAATTTATCATTCCATTTTTGATTTCAGAATTCCTAATCACAAATGATAATAAATAAGAGCTCCCTTTCTGCTTTATAGTTAGGAATACCAAGAGGATAACTGAATTAAATCCTCTGAGCTCATTATAAGGAATGGACTATATTATCATACAATATGAATATTATTTTATTGAGGCTATTACCTTGTTAACTACTATCCTTATAATCATAATTAACATAATAACATAATGCTACTAACATAATAACATAATGATTACCAAATATTAAAAAAAACTAAGTTTTTCTGTTTTTCAATACATTTTTCTGAATCAGAGAAATGAGAAGGAAATATTTTGTCTTCCAACTGGGACAAGATCATCAGTTGAAGAGTATATTTAGAAGGAGTACTACATGGCATCTGAGATTTAAATAATGAGCCAAGTACAAGATGTTACTCATAAATGGTCATCCAGGGGACCTGGGTGGCTCAGTCAATTAAGTGTCCAACTTAATTGACTGAGCTCCACATCAGGCTACTTGCTAGGCATGGAGCCTGCTTAAGAGTCTCTCTCTCCCTCTTCCTTGCCCCTCCCCCTTCAATAAATAAATAGGTAAATAAATGAATGGTCATCCACTGATGTGAGTACCCTAACACAAAAGCTAATGGTTTCAAGATCTCCAGATTTTTCTGGATATGACAATTTATTTAGAAATGAGGTCTAAGACAGAAGATTTATTTGAACAAGTCATAGCTGAAAACTTCCCTAATCTGCCGAAGGAAACAGACATCCAAATCCAAGAGGTACATCAAAATCAACAAAAGCCAGCCAACACCAAGACATATCGTAGTAAAATTTGCAAAACAGAGAGATGAGGAAAGAATTCTGGAAGCAGCAAGGGAAAAAAATTCCCAACCTACAAGGGACGACAAATCAGGTTCACAGCAGATCTCTCCACAGAAATCTGGTAGGCCAGAAGAAAGTGGCATGATAATATTCAACACGCTAAATGGGAAAAATATGCAGCAAAGAACACTTTATCCAGCAAGGCTGTCATTGAGAATAGAAGGAGAGATAAAGAGTTTCTGAGACAAACAAAAACTGAAGGAGTTCATGACCACTAAACCAGCCCTGCAAGAAATACTAAAGGGGACTCTCTGAGTAGGAAAGAAAGACCAAAAGCAACAAAGACTAGAAAGGAATAGAGAACATCTCCAGAAACACCAACCGTACAGGTAATACAATAGATTTGTAATACAATACAAATATGAATAAATTCATATCTATCAATAATCACTCTGAATATAAATGTACTAAATGCTCCAATAAAAAGACATAGGATATCAGAATGGATTAAAAAAATAAAACAAGATCCACAAATGCTGCCTAAAAGAGACTCATGTTACTTATTTATTTTATGTATTTATTTTTTAAGATTTTTATTTATTTATTTAACAGAGAGAGACACAGCGAGAGAGGGAACACAAGCAGGGGGAGTGGGAGAGGGAGAAGCAGGCTTCC